ACGTTCAGCTGAGCTTATGGATGAAGAAACACTGCATTTCTGATGGGCCACTCAGATGCCAATAAATCACAGCAAGTAGGGAAATGCAGGAGAAGCAACACCTGCCAGGTGTCCAGGGGAACACCATGTGAAAAGGGAATAGTTGTAAAACCCTCAGTGGACTGGGGAGGGCTATTATATTTCTTCCTATAAAAGTGTCCGTCTCCATAGTGCTGGAGTGTCACCACACACTGAGGAATTACACTCCTGCTGATAATGCTCCCGTTTAGTTCTGGCAGGGACCATAATGATGGAAAGCAGGTGAGGGAGATCATGAGTTTCCTACTGCTGAATATTGAGTGCTGGAAAGGAAGCTGGGGTCTGTTTTGCTCAGATTGACCCTGATGGGTATCATTGGAAGGAGAACTGTATATAAATTAGGGCCTTCACTCTTGACAGCAGAGTTTTCCAGCTACTGTATTGGGAACATGACTCTACCTTTTACTGCAGGATGCTTTTGGGGATGGCAAGTACCTTGCTGTATGCAAACAGCAGCTGCTCCCTTGCCCCAAACTACATATACTTTAGGACTTGCCTGCTCAAAATATTTTTGTCCTGTGGCTGCTTAGCTTGTCCCCTCACATCCACATATCCTGGATCTGGCCAGGAGCTGGAAGAAACCAGGTGCTTTGGCAAGACTACAACATTGCACAGAGCTCCTTTCATTCCTGAGAATCATGTCTTTTTCCCCAGGAGAGCAGTGCAGCCCTTGGACAGGGCACAGAGATGTGGTGCCATCTCCATCATTGAGTTCATCATCATCCACACAGATGAGGCCTTGAGTGACCTCAGTTAGTTGTGAGAGTGGTTCTGCTTGGAATAGACATCTTAGAGACCTCCTCCCAGTTGAACCTCTCTAGAATTCAATAGATACAAGACATCACCAAGACTCCCATACTAGAAATAGCTGGAAGATATAAAAGCATTTATGAATGTCTCACCCTCTTCCTATGCCTTTTAAACATACTTCTCCTGGGTTATAAAGTTTGAGCCTTCCCTCTACCCCAAGACTGCATAGCAATATCAGAGCAGAGAGGAGATCTGTGACTAATGTGTCAGCTGGAAGGGCTTGCCCATATCCCCTTTCCAGGAGCTGAAGTACTTAACTTGGTGACTGCTATGACTTATCTGTACCAAAAGAACAGGCCAGCTGCAATTATTTTTTAACAAAGACACCCTTTTTCTTTCTTTAAGCCTTGTGTAAATGTCAATAACCAGTGTTTAAAGACAGCTAACTGTTGGCACAGTACCCTTCCAAGGGGGAGGATAAAGACAGGCTAGGCAGCTTCCCTGGCTGCAGGGTGGCAGAACCTTGCTGGGCCAAAGCAGTTTAGTTCCATGAAAAAAAAGACATTGACATAAATGTGGTTTACTGCAATAGTTTAGAGCCAGCTGAACTGCCCAGTAGGAGCAATTCTGTGGAATCTCCAGGGGAGTTTGGGAGTATTGTAACCCATCCCCATGCCGCTGGCTTTATGGCAAAGCTCTGTGCTGTTCCCAGGGGTGCAGGGTGCTCTCAGTGCTGCTGAGAGCTGTGTCCTCAGAACAGCCTCCTCCCACTACACACAAGTGCCCTTCCTGCCCCCCAGAGCACACATGAGCTTGTGGAAGACATTGTGAAATCAAGCTCACGATTGATTTTGGTGATGGTTACATTGGAAGTGCTGGAAACAGCATCATGGTGTGTAAGAGAGAAAGGGCAGTGCCCTGTATGAGGGAGACACTACAGAGCAGCAGGGAACTCTCTGTGGTACATACTGAAAAGGAAGCACCATTTATCCCTTGCCTTATGGTCATGAGACATCCCTCCAAAGACCCAGTTTCTTAGAGAGGCTCATTTGCTGATGGTTTGTGGAGAGGAAACTGAAGAAGAACTGCTGACTGCTGTTGGGAAATGACACATTCTATTTTCCTACCTTCTTAATGCTCATGCTACCCTCTGCTAGCAAGGCAAACACATCTTCCATGGGTCACTCTCCACTTCAAGTGCCTGTAAGAGCTACATTTAACACTGAAGAAAGTACTTTGCTGCTGGACCAAATTTATCTGAATGCATTTACACTCCCATGTTTTGGCAGAGACATGTTTCTTACCCTCTGCATATCACCCCATTATGGGCAGTTTTTCCCAAGAGCAACCTTCCCCCCCCTCCCCCCCCAGATCTGCCCCCGGCAAACATCAAAAGCAAGAATGTGGGATGCCCATACAGCATCTGTACAGAGACACAGACTGATGGCAGGCTGCACCATCCTCATTGGGTTTGAAAGCAGTCAGCCTCTCTTGGATTTCCTACATTTTTGCTCATCACCTCCCCACATTCAGGCTATGGCTCCCAGAGTTCTCTGATGCTCACATAGCAACAGAGCCTCACTTTCTGATTAAGCAAGGCCATGAGCTAAGCATGTGTTGAAACCGGAACTCAAGGACCTTCTTCATGAGCAACCTCAGAGTGAACCCCCCCAGCAAGCCTGAGAACGGGAAGGGAGGAGCAAATTCTGGCCTGTGGTCTCCCTGTTACTTTTAACAAACGTCTTAAACAGTTTTGACCTGTTCTGCCAGGATGCAGGTGCAGAGAGCCTACATCCTGTCTTTGTCACTGTATCCAGGACTTGCAATGCAGTGTGCTCTAGGGGAGGCTGCTGTGAAAGCAGTGGTTCAGCAGAACTGCTCCCCTGAAGGACAACATACCCAGGCCAGTGGGATATTGTGCTTGCCAAAGGGAGTTGGATGTGGAGCAAGGGAACATCTGCCCTCCTCCCCTTTACCAAACTGTCCAGGGAATGCATTCCGGAATACAGAATTAGGAAATTTGAACCCCCAAGCACCAAGATTAACATGACAGCTGCCAAGACGTGGCACTGAAAACCCTCAGGGTACAGAGGCTTGGGTACTTCAAAGAAAAGTGGGGGGCAGGGGGTGGAATGCAAGGAGCATTCTAAGAGATCTTTGTATATTAACCAGCAAGTGCGCGGTCACACTTGCCATTTACACCTTTACATCACACCACCTTTACAAATGCAGTAATTGCAATGTCTATATTCTCTAGCATACCACACCTGATTATTAAGAGAAATCCCAGAGTTGAGCTCTCTTGGCCTTTCTAATGCTTGCACCATCTCCTCAGCTGCCCTAGGTGTCTTGGACTTCCCTTACCTCCCATACAGTAACTGTCCTACACGGGGGTTTCAGCCACAAAACCATTACAGGAAATGCTTGACTGCAGTTGTCTCACTCATTAGCTTGGGCCAGCATTCAGATGTGAAAATAGTCCTGGCCAAGACACCCCAATCACCTGGATGTGCTGAGGCAGAAGCACAAACAGCTTTTAAAAATACTTATTACTTCCCTGCAATGAGAAAAACAATAAGATGCCCTTTTAAAAGAGATCAGTATTGTATGTTTGATTAAAAGAACAACAGAGGTAAAAAAAAAATCCAAAGCATTTTTAATGGTGCTTAACAGTAGTTACTTAGATGTGGAGGTAGCAAAGAATTTGTGGAGAAAAGGGAATGAAAATGGTTATCAAGAAAGTGAAGCCTTTTGCCTCATGCTGCCATAAGGCAGGAGATTACATGCAGGGTTTCTCTCTTACCCACCTGCATACAAAAATTTGCACACACAGCTTTCACCCCTGCTCAACACACCCTTAGCCTGTGCTGTTCCCTTTCCCAGGACCCAAATGCTAACACTGCAGAGCAGCTCTCATCTGCCTTTGGACACATCTGCCACCATTGGAAGAATTCCACCACCAAGATAACACCAGTAGAGCCTGTGAGCACAAACAGTGGTGGTGACAGCCAAGGCAGGTTCCCCTGAACCACAGGGGAGTAAATGATCACAGACCAGCAAGAAACACTATGCAGTACCCTTTTCCCAGGTGCATGAAGATCCCATATTTCTCTGTCAAGGGGAGCAGCTTTGCAATGTGATGGAAGAGCTTCACCCCACAGTGTCAGCATGCTTGGTTTTGTGATGCAAATATGAGGGGAGGCACCAAGAAACTAAAAGCTTTACCTTACCCAGCTGCTACAGAAAGCAAAACACTCTGGAATAAGAGCTCATCTTATGAAAGCAGGAGACTTGGAAATACCTGCAGTCAGAAGGTGCGCAGTTTTATCTCTGTATAGAGCAAAGGCCAAGCTCACTTTCTGCAAGGCTTTGTAGTAAGATTGGAAGCACTGCCTACAGAGCTCCTCAAACCAGCACACACCAAGACTGCTTTCCTCCCCCTTCCCCCACAGCTTTCCTTCTTATCTTATCTGTAAGTGGCAAAACCCGGGTAACTCAGAGATTGATTGTTTGAAATACACCACCTTCAGGGCTTTACCAAGGCCTTTGCGGTCAAGGTCACATCAAGCGCTGAAACTAGCCCTGGCTGGGATTTACACCAGTTATTCCCTTTCTAAAAAGGGGCATATTTCCTGCTAGTGCAGTGACAACAGGGACAATTAACTTGAGGTGAAGAAGGGTCTAACTTTCATTTGATCCTGGTATTAGAAAAGAGCTGACCCCCCCTTCTGCAACACCTCTCCCAGCATCCAGCACACCCCGGCACACAGAGAAAGCAGCGATCCCAGATCAAGCCAGAGAGAGGAAGGGGAGAAGAGGTAGAACTGTGACTGACCCTAAAAAAAAACCCCAAAAAGCCATTCCTAGCACTGCAAGCAGGGGAAGGATGAAGCGTAGTTCAGGAACAGAGTGATTAATGGGAAAACTTAAGAACACAGAGACAAGGGCCTGAGGTCCTCCCTTCCCAGAGCTGCAGAGGCTCTGGAAGCATTTGTGTTGGCAGGAAGGCAGCAGGAATAGGCAGCTCTTTCCTGTTTCGGGCAGCAGAATTCACTGTGGATATGTGCTCCTCCCTGTCAATGGTCACTGGCAGGAAGGTGGACCTGTGTCCAAATCACCTCCCCAGCCCCATGGGTGTTTAAACATGATAATGGCAAGATACACAGCCAACATTTTGTTCCACCTTTATTTTAACAATCAGATAAAAACAGAACCATATTCTTAAAAGTCATTACATGGCAATTATAAAGTGCATTTTCCACTTGAATGTTGTGTACAAAAATATCTTTTAAAAACCAACATGCATAACACCCTACAAGGCACTTCCAGGCATAGAGCAAGGAGAGCAACCCTCACTTCTATGTTCACATTGGCAGTGGAAAAAGGGAAAAGGGGAAAGGCCACAAGTAGTATTTTTAAACCGCTATTGGTCAAATAGTCAGTTCCCAACCTGGCTTTTACTTATGGCATTGCTCTTCTAGCTCATCTTCCATGTTCCTCCCTAAGCACACCCAATGCACAGCCTGAAAACAAGCAGGCCCCATAAGGAGATACCACCATCCACAGCACCCCAGATCCACATGCCTTATTTTGGCTCACAAACAGCTCTCCACAGGCATGAGAATGTGCCAGGAGAACACAACTTTTCTACAGTCAGTGTTTTACAACATTAGCATCATACACTAAATAAATAAAAAGTATCAGTGTCACTCAAACTTCCTTTAAGTTTAAAACCAAGCCAAGCTAGGCAACAGTCCCTTCCAGAGAGACCAGATGCAGGTTACAAAGGCTGACTTGGGAAGCTGTTATAATAGAGGAACCAAGCCTGATGATCTCTGGGCTGGCAAGTAGATTCACCACCTCAACTAAGTGATCAAGCACAGTGAAGACATGTATTGATTTTGCACTTTGAAAAAGCAGCAGTTGAAGGCTAGCTACTCTTCCTGCAAGCTCTTGTCCCTTTCAGCATCCAACAGTGATCCCAGTATCCCTTCTAGGTTAGAGTAAAACAGCTTGTAAGTATTTTATACAGTAGTCTCTAGAATTAAAAGCTATGTTAACAAAATTAAATAGTCTAGCCCATTGCTTCTCTCCAGCCCATTCATGGGCACCCAAAAATTATACAAAGCTTATGCACTAGAAAAAGTAAGATTGCTTTGACCTCTGTTTCTACAAACTATTCAGCACTCTCCCTTTGAGCTGAGGGATGAAGTTATTCTTCTTGGTTAGCACCCAAGAAGCTTTGTGTGGCTGTTGGGCACTGTACAAGCTTGCCACCTCACCTCAGCACACATTCAGAAGATAGGGATGGTTCACATCTGTGATTAGTTTCATATCCAGAGGTGATGCCAGGATAACCCCACAACTCACTCTCCTCACAGCTAGTTCTTTGCATAGGTGGGGTGAGCCACTTTTTATGGGCAGAGAGATGCAAAGTCTGGGCATTTACAGGTTGAAATGCCATACTGCTTCAACAGCAAAGAAAGCCCAGCATGTTGCTGTTCATCCAGTATAGCCACAGCATCCTCACATGTGAGCAGTGCCAGGCTTTTAGTTGCCAAGCAGTCCATGGCTCAGAGTAACAAACCATTATGAGATCTTAAAAGCAATGTCAGTTCCAAAGCCTGTTTATCACAAAGCATTGTCATCCCTTTCTCAGTCAAGGCACTTCCATCACAGTAGGTACACAAGAGTCACCTTCCTATACAGGACACAGCATGAAACAGCCATGTGGTCCATTTGCGTTTAGCTCTTTTAACACCTGAGCAGAGAATCCTGCACAGGACTCTGGGCCCCAGCTGGACAAAACTCTATTTTACAGTCCACAGGAGGAGGAACTGCGTTTTCAGGGTCCAGCACAGCCAACAGCTGACTTCTGATGTCCATCAAGAGGAAAAAGCATCATTGATCACTTACGATTAAAGAAACAGGAAAGTTTTGAAGAAGGCAGTTAAAGATGTCAACCCATAGCTGTGTTACAAGCACCACACAGCTACAGCTAATCTCTATTTTTGGTAACACCAATGGTATGAGAGTTTTTCAAGATCATCTGATAAAACAACTGGTGACTAAGCAAATCAGATCCTCTCCCACAGGCACGTCTCCTAATACGGCAGGCTGTAGGGCCACATTTCCTGTCATCACATTGCATTTTCATTTCCAAAACACCCTTTCTGCCTCCAGTAGGAAGGGCCTCACTACAAGGACATGTGCAAAGAGAGGACTCCATTCCCAGCCATCCTACCACTCCATTTCCTGACAGGCACAGGCCAGCTTCACAAGGAGAGCCCTGCAGCTATAGTACAGCCTGCTAAAAATATAATACTAGTACATATTTTGACAGACTCTTTTAATACTAGGCAGGCAATACCAAGCAGCCACCACTACATGGCTTGGATAGACAATATAAGCACTGTAGTGTTTTCCCTGGAGACTGGCAACTTTACTGAAGAGGAGGAAGAAGCAGTGTTAAAGAGACATGAGCAACAGTCCCTGGTCCTTTGATCATCTGGAGAGCAAGAATTGCTTCCCTGACTATAAGTCCACTGCCAGCAGAGCACTGCACATCTAGTTTTGCTGGGAGGCTTATGCCAAGCTACAGAGCCATCCTTCTTCCACCTCTTCATACACCTCGTGTTCAGACCAGCCCCAAAGCCTGCAGACACGCCAGCAACAGTCAACCTGGGCTTTGTCCTTGGGTCAGTAGTAGGGCCCGAGCTTCTCGAAGCCTGAATAACTGGGCCACTCAGGAAAGAGGCCATAGGAGCACTGAGGGCTCCCAAACCGGTCAAATGCACAGCCAAAGTCAGGGCCCTGTGGGGGATGGCTGGCTTCCTGAGCAGACTTCAGTGTTGACCATGTGATCCTGTAATTTGTGCCCCTGTTGTTGTCCCAGTACATCTTCCCATTGCACTGAAAGGAAATGGCAAACTCGACTCTTTCGTGTGATTGAATTCCCTCAGGCAAGTTGATGTCAAAGGAAAATGTGTCCCGATCTGACCCTCCATACGTATCCTTGACGTACTGGCACGGGTAATCTACAAAGCTTTTCCAGGTGTCAAACGTCATTCGGATCTTCACAGTCTTTTCAAAAGCGAGGTTCTTCACCTTCACCGTTCCCACAACAGATCGTTCCTTTAGCACACAGTTTTCAAGGCAAACACAGTCGTTCTCAAGGCGGTTTCTGAAGGCCAGGTAGTCTGCAGAGGGCTGAACAAAATCCAGGACAAAGTTGTCCTTCTCCGCTGTTGTCAGACCCACAATATTGTCTATCAGCTCTGTGATGTTGAAAGGAATATCTAGTGGATCATCAAACTCCGAGAACACCTTCACCATCGTCAGAGCAAAGCCTCTGCTATCTGCAAATGACACCCTCTTCTTCACTTTGTTGTGTGTGAAGGAGCTCGTTGCCTCTTCTGGTCCGTTCAGTGCAGCCTTGCTACTCAGCTGGATGCAGGGTCGCAATGGCTTGCTTGGCTTTGGAGCAATTTTGCAGGCACACTTCTCTCTTCGCAAGGGTGAAGAGCACAGGTACAGCTGCATTGCTACATCCACAGCCATTGCTTGCTTGTGAGGAAAATAGTCTATTACTCTGGAAGATGAGAAGAAGGGTCAGCTGATATTAGAAAAGAACTTTAATATGAATTTTGTCAGACAATTGATACACCACTTTCCCCCAGCCATCCCAAATAAACTTGCTTCTATCAACCCCCCAAGTCTCTCAGGCTTAACTAAAAGCAGGTACCTGTATGGTGTGATTTACAGACACCGTGAGAAACACACTATGGCAGAAGAACCAGAGCCTGTTGTATCCTTGAACAAGATCTCTTCCAACTGCTACAGGAACAGTCACCATTTGAAGACACACACACAGGCATTGCCCTACTAGGCTAGCAATAGCAGGCTCCAGAGAATTTCCAACCCAAAGCAAAGCCCATGGCTCAGTCCTGCCAGCGTTCACAAAACCCAGAGATTATCAAATTTCAATGCTACATAAAGCAGTATTCCTGCTGTGCTTTCCTCCCTCCAGGAGAGATTCTCCCCAGGGCTTCAGAAGCTTTTGTAGGAACAGGAATTCAGTTTGTCACAAGCTGCTTTACACAACTGACTTCACCTTTTATAAAGCCTCATATGGCTGGTATTTTTAGAGGCTAAAAAGCACTCGTTCAGTTGAAGTACATTATTTGCTCTTCACAGTCTCCCAGACCAGCTCAGTCTAAAATGCCTGCAAGTAGCATTGTAAGGACAGCAACAGTCTGATACAGCAGCAGGGTAGAGACTTGGCCAGCACTGCTCCGCACCTTTCTTTCCTCTACTCCACTTAAAACAGATGACAGCTCAGAAGGCCCACCAGCCAGTTTTACCTCCAGCACAGAGTTTGCACCTCAAGCCTCCACAGCATTTGTGCTAATCCCCTGGGAAACACCTATAGAGCCACAAGGCTCTGCTAAACACAACTCATCTACTCGAGGTTGACCCTGGCTTTGGAAGCAAGTCCTTCTCCCAGAAGGCACAGGCCATGTGCCCCTCCACCATGGCCTTTCCTTCTCCAGCACCCAGCCCATTCCTCCAGGGGTGCAGCACCATCTCTCTCTGTGCACCCATGCTAGGGCAGCTCCCACCTGGCACCTTGCCAGATGTAGCCCTGGAGTTGCCCCTGCAGCCAGGCCGCCCCCAGAATACTGAACATTGCACCTGTCACTCCTGCCCTTACACTGAAGTTCAGATGGATGCTTTTGGCAGACCCTCTTAGGCCTGCCTCTGGATAAGCCACTGAATAGATTTATCATGCACATCCTCCTTAAGTCAACTGTATTGCAGTTGACCTTAAACACAGAGTATTCCCTTAATAAAAATCCTGTTTGGCTGCAGGCCAGGCTCTAAAGCTGCTCCCACCACGCAGAGCAGGATGAGCCAGCAGCGTTAGCAGTGACCACCGGCCTTGTGATACGGCAGAGCTCTGGCTGCCAAAGCCACGCACAGCCAGCTTTAGTGCTTGATTGCTGCTCCCATGCCAAGAAAAAGCAAGAGTAACACTCTCCAATTCAGTGCTTTAAGTCCCCACCCTGCAACACCAACACAGCGGCTCTGAGTAGGCTTTCACAGCATGCGTTCAGCACCAGCATCTGTTTATTCAGAGCCCAACACGCCCACCAGCTAACTCCTTCTGCGTTGCCTCCTTTCAGCTCAAGGGCAGCTGTACAGGACAGACAGCAGATCCACCTGTCTGCTAACACTTCTGCTCATCTCTACCTGGTTTTGCCAAGTTTTTATTCATACACACTTTATATAGGTCGTTTCCTCCTTTAAATTAACGCAGCCTCCAATGCTTCTCTTACTTGGGTCAGTTTCATCTGCATGGCATCTTTTCCCAGGGAAATTTATTCAGTTGAATTCCTGTAACTCTGAGAAGTCAGGTTTCATAGTAAGCCTTGGTTATTCACAGCTTTAGAATGAAGAGGCATGAAATATCCAGCCCAATTGCATTACTTGGAGCTTTTTTCCAAGCTAAGAACTATATTAAGAGCTTTTTATGCTGACTATGAAAATAAGCTTTGTGCTTTTACAGCTCATTTGATATCTCAGACAACTCTTTCTGCACTTGAGAGCCTGCTGATGGCCAACTCACAGCCAACAGAGTAAAGTTCCCTTTTGAGGCTGGTGACGGCTGTCTTGAACTTCAGATGCTTTGAAGGTGAGAGCAGAGATACAGTTTCGGGAGCTCACATAGGTAAGGCGGCTCTAGGAAGCAAGCAGTGCAAGGCAGGCAGCCCTAGGCAGGTATAGGGGACGATTCCTTTACCCCTCCTCTCAAAAGGGGAACAAACACGACTCTGCCTCTGGACTTCCTCTTGCAGCTTCACTCTCTCCAGAGGAGGATGTCGCCACTCGCTACCCCCTCCTCTATTTCTAGGAAGGAGAAGCAAGTCAGAGCACAGACATTACTTACACCTATACTTATTGAATCCGCGCTGCTTCCCCCGCTACCTGGAGCCAAGTAACCCCCTCCCGAGGGCTGGGCGTGCAGCAGCGGCTAAGCCAAAAGCTTGCAGCCGTGACACGCTGCCGGGTGAAGCAGCGCTCGGGCGTTCCGTACCCCCTCCTCCTCATCGACTCAGGAAAGGCCGAGCCGTCCCGAGCGCACAGCCCAGTTCCCGCGGGCATTTGCCCGGGTGGCGTGTTAACTCGCTACAGCCCGGTCCTTCCGCAATCCACAGCCAAGCCAAGGCGCCCGGACCCAGGACAGGCAGAGCCCAGGAGAAGCAGCAGAGCACAGCCCGGCGGAGGGGGAGCCCCGCCGCCCCCGGGCTACCGCTCCCGGCTCACCCGGGGAGCTGCAGGAGCCAAGCCCGGAGGATCCCGTCCCCATCCCCGCCCTCTGCCCAGGAGCGGCACCGCGGCGGGGAGCGCCGGCACCGCTCCCGCACATCCGAGAGGGCTGCGACCCCGCGCGGAAGGCAAAAAGCACTACCATTACCATCCCCATTACCACCGTGCCGGGGCTGGCGGCGCGGCTCGCCCGTACCTGGTGCAGTGCATGGGGCCGACCCAGCAGCCACAACCCGCCACCGCGCGGGTGGGGCCGGGCCCGGCCTCTTAAGGGCGCCCGGCCCCGCCCCCAGAGAGCGGTAGCCAATGGGCGTGCCCCGAGCGGGAGCCCGGCACGCGAGGGGGCGGGGCCAGCCCGAGGGGGCGGGGCCGGGGAGCTGGCGGGTCCCGGGAGCAGCGCAGGGACAAGGGACACGGCGGTGCCCTGCGGGGACACCGCGCCAGCAGACCCGCCCCCCCTGCAGCAGGGAGAGCTTGTTCTGGCAGAAGGGACAAGCTCTGCCTCCGGTCCCTCACTGTTCCGCTGCTCCTGTGCCAGGGTGCCGTCCCTGTTTGTCCAGAATCACAGAATCAACCAGGTTGGAAAAGACTTCTTGAGGTAATCGAGTCCAACCTATGACCGAACACCACCGTGTAAAGTAGACTATGACACTAAGTGCCACGTCCAGTCTTTCCTTAAACATTTCCAGGGACGGTGACTCCACCACCTCCCCATTCCAATATCACTCTTTCTGTGAAGTAATTCCTCTTGATGTCCACCCCAAACCTCCCCTGCCACAGCTTAAGACTATGTCCTCTTGTACTGTAGCTAGTTGCTTGGGAGAAGAGGCCGACCCCACCTGGCTACAACCTCCTTTCAGGCAGTTGTAGAGAGCGATAAGGTCCTCCCTGAGACTCCTCTCCAGGCTAAACAACCCCAGCTCCCTTAGCTGCTCCTCATAAGACTTGTGATCCAGACCCTTCACCAGTTTTGTTGCCCTTCTCTGGACACGCTCCAGCACCTCAATGTCCTTCCTGAACTGAGGAACCAGAACTGAGAAGGTGCCACAAGTAAGCAGCTAAATCCACAGGAACATGCTCTTGAGACAGAAAAGACTTTTTGGGGCACCCATCTTTCTGGCTGAGCAGGCCCAGGGTGTTTGGGTTCTCAGGGCCAGATGGGGAGGAGGGTAACTCACACACCCACATCTTGTGGCTGTGCTTGTGTCTGGGTAGAAATCTCCAGCGAATACTCCAAAATCTGCTTTCCAGGCATATTTATGATATGCAGTGGAAAAAATTCTAGAGGTGGCTTTCCTCCATGAGAAAAGAACACCTGCAGGGCCCAGCTGGCACAGAGACCAGCCCCATGGGAATCCCTATCTGGCACATGTGCAGAGCTGGGAAGATGTTTCCAACATCCTGAAAATATCTGCCAGGCAACTTGATGCTCTGGCATAGACCTGCACTGCTTTGCAGGGCCAGCTGGGCCAAGGGAGCTTCCCAGCTGCTCTCCTGCCACCAGTTCCCATTTCTGCTCCTTTGGGCTGCTCCTGAGTCTGTGTCAGCACAGAGCCTGATGTCCTCAGTGGTGTGAAAAGTGTGCATAGACCTGGCCTCCCTGTCAGGGAAGCAGGTCTGCGGATGTAAAGCCTACTGAAAGGTGGAGATGGTGCATTTACTTTCTTCCCATGGGGATAATAGTATTTACCTCTTTTTGTGCCATATCTGGCCTCTAACTGCACAGCTGTGAGCAATGCTGCTGTCTCTCACCTTCCTTACAGAGCAGAAAAGCAGGATTGAAGTGTCAACATTTGTTTTCAATTAACTTGTAGAAACATAGAGAGCTATTGTTAAAGCTGGAGACTTCCTGCTGGAACCTACCATTTAATACACTTATTACTCTGCAAGGCAAAAGCGTTTTTTTGAGAGAGAAAATAACACCCACACTTTTTGTTTTATAAACCCTTTTTAGATGAAGGCAGTGGTAAGATTTAAAGCTGGAGAGAGAGCTGAAAGATGTACCCATTGCAGGAGTCTTGCAGACTTACAGTAGTATTTCATCTGCCGAGGGTATGGTGGGATTTCAGCATGTGGTACAGCAGGGATGAGGGGAGCCATGTTCAGGTTTGCCCAGGAGCAATAGACAGACATGGGATAAGGTGGTCATGGCTCATGGGGCCTCTCCAGTGCTGCTTCCCCTTCTCCAGGTGGGGCCACTGCAGCCTGGCTTCAGCGTCGTCACTGGTCCAGAGAGGTTCAGGTGGTTTTAATGGAATAAGCCCAAAAACTAGGAAGCCCTGACCTGACTTACACTTGTCCCTCTGGTCTGCCACACCTTTCTCCCATGCGTTGCTGGCAGCTTGGCACCACAGATGTGCCGAGGGAGATGTGGGTTTGTCTCTATACTGTGCAGGCTTTGGCCAGCCAGCCCCCCATCCCCGGGGTAGGAATGCACCCCACGTGGCTTTAGGGCACGTTTCTGCCCTGCAATACAAGCTCTGTTTGCTGTGAGAGGGGCAGGGTGTTTCACAACTGTGGCTTGGTGTTTGCCCCTGAAGCAAAGGTAGGTGGAAGTTGGGGCAGGACGTTGTGGCGGACTGTGGACATGGGCTGTTATCTTTGGGAAGCTGAGATAGTGGCTATATTTAGCTCTGTGCTAGGCCCTTGCACAGTGGTCTTTGTGATTTCCCCACAGCTTTTCACCCCTCCTGCCTTGCTGAGGGATGGGAAGAACTTGATCCCTGTCATGGGGAAGAGGTATCAGGTTGCTTCTCCCTGGGGGAGCAATCCAGAACCAGTCCCATCCATGGCACACAGCTCTGGAAGGAGGGTCCCACTCTCCCATCATGTCTACCCTGGAGTTTGTTCCTGATTCAATGAGTATATACTCCAGGGTGTCCTGGTACAGGACATGGTGGCTTCTGCACCCTCAAGTTCAGCCCCACTGGTTTCCTGCAGAAAGGGAGGCAGAGCTTCTCCCTGCCTCCTGAAGAGCCCTCCTTCCCCTTGCCACAGTCCCTCAAGAGCTGCCTCTAACAGCAGGCTTGAGCAGGTTCTTGGGGACTTTTCCTGGTCCTACCACCTCCTCAGTGTCCTGTTGGAGACAGGGGTGGATGGAGTATCTTCTCCTCCCTGTTGGGAACCTACAGCTTGGCTTCCCAGCAGCTGGCCAGTGGGCAGCCCCAGCCGGGAAGGGGAGAGGGGCCAAATGTGTTGTGCAATGTATCCACAGGCTGCAGGGCCAAGGCTCAAGGGCGAGTGCTGTAAACCAGCAGAGCGGCTGATGTAACAGTGCTGGGGCTGCTGCCATGGGGCACCCCATCCCACATCTCGTGCCCCTGCTCAAATCAACAGCCCCCTCCTGCTACCTTCTTCTTCCTACACCCCAGCTGCCACCTCCCATCACTGCCAGTGGCCACGGAGGCTCCACCCCTCTGCATCTCCACATCCAACTGTGCCCCCAGCCTGGTTGGGAATGCTCGGTGGTGCAGTTGTGGTCAGGTCTCCACCTCTGGCTGTTGGAATCTTTAAGGTGGTGGCGAAGGTGCCACGCTCCCTGTGCTTGCCACAGCAGTCCGAGGCAAACAGTGCCCGCTGTGGTGGTGTGGCTGATGCTGCCACAATGTTGGTGCTTGTCAGCAAATTCCAAATTGGTGGCACTGAGAAACTGCTGCTGCTGCCTTTGAGCCAAACCGCAACACTTGAACAAGCAGAGAAGGATTTTTGTTAAAGTTTACCTGCCTGTGACAAGGCTGTGACAGTAACTCTTAAGTAATCTTAATCAGATGTTGCCTCATATCAAAATGCTAAGGGAGAAACTAATTTTGGAGTAATTTTTGGGCAGCACTGGTGTACTGCAGGAGAGTCAACCCAGCCAGTGCAGAGCACCAGGAATGGTAGCAGTCAGCAGCATGTCATGCACTCCTCCAAAAATGACATCCATGGCTGAGCTGTGTGACTGGCTGGCTGTGAGTTCCTCCCTTGTTCCTTTTAGACATACCAGTTGATTTCAGCCACACTCCGTGGGGGAGTGCAAAGATCACAGATCCCTTTAAGGTTTCATGTGATTCAGCAGCTGGTGGAGAGAGACCCAGTGAGCATCCTTGCTGAGCAAAAGCAGAGAGACACCTGGATGCAGTGCCCTTCTGGCCAGTCAGTGTCTGTACCTGCTGGCCAACCAGCACTGACAACCCCTTGGTCAGCTATGGCCAACATGATAGAAATCTGTAGGAAACATGGTTTCTCTCACCATCAACTTGGTCATAGCTACAACTGCATGCTGAGGCCTGCTGTGTTGCTTAGGAGCTCCTTGTAGTCCCAGGCCCCTGTCCAACTCCTGCAGGGTCACAGCAAATGGCTCCACCAAAGAAAAGTCTTGAGAAGTCCTGTCAGGTGATGGGATTCCCCTCTTTTATTTTCAGAGGTCTCAAACTCCTGTGGCTGTCCCAGGAAATTAAGCAAAGAGTATTCAAGGTTTCCCAGTACAAAAGAAAATCCTGCTCTTGGTTAAGGCTCTTGACTGTGCTTCGGGGAGCTGTGCTCCAAGGCAGAGCTCTGCACTCCAAGGCCAGCACTGCTCCTCCTGGCTCTGTCCAGAGACGAGGAGTTGCTTCAATGTACTGGCTGAAGGCCCAAAGTAGGGTATTTACCTTGGCATGTCTCCCTTTGGATCTCGTGCGCATCCATGGTCAAACACTCCAAGGAACGTGTACTCTGCCCTGCTGAAGACCATGGCACGTTCCCTTCCAGCCCAACACGCACAGAGCAGATGGTGTGAGGCCAGTTGCAAAGCCTGGCCCGGTACTGTGTGCTGTAGAGAAAGACTGGGTATTACGGAACTGTGGTTCTTAATATTAAAAATGGCTAGCAAAAGAGACCTAGAAAACTCGTGCAAAAAAGGGAGATTATGGGGGAGGGAACGAATGCAAATAAGTTACTACAAAGGCCTTAAGGAAAGCTGCTACTCAGAGGGAGAAAGGGGAATGGGCCTTCAGCAAAGAAAGAGCTCAAAGGGCAAGGAAACAAATGAGTGGAGAAACTAAATGACAGGCAGACAGGAACAACAAAGAGGTAGGTCCTTGGCCAGGCATACAACCTGCTTGTTGAAAATGCTGTATCAGTGCTAAGGCAAGGCTTGATACCAGGTTAAAAGAATTTCTTCCCCAGACACTGGGACCCAAGAGGGGACAAGTCCCTGCAAGAAGAGAATGGTACCTCCTGCTTTCTCAACACCGTGATGTTCTTTTCAGAAAGCT